AAACAAGCGACGCCGTTTTCCTAATTTAAGTTTTCCGACTTTGATTTTATTATGATTTTATTCAGTATTCAATAATAAAAGGAACAATACGCCATATAATATATTTATTACCGATTATTAGCGGAACATTTTGATCCTTCCACACATTTCAAGATTAGTCGCATCAACTCGCAGCTGCACTCTATAATTTATTTAATAAATAAATATAAAATGAATTATGTATAATTAATTAGACACTAATAATGATAAGTAACTAGTACATCTCAATAAAAATAATACGTATTATTTTTATTGAGATGTACTAATTATTAAAATTATGGAACATTGCACATGAACGATTGCTAAAATTGAACGTATTGCTTTATCTTTTTTGTAATTTTATATATTTTTCTAAAGTTCTCAAAAATCTCACTTATTTTGTTATATCTTTATTTCTTAATAAATCCAAATTAATTTTCACAAGGAAACAATTAACAATATTTGATTTATCAATTGATTTCGTTTATAGAAGTTATTTCGATTCAAAATTGTTGCAGCTTAAAGTGATACAATTTCTGATTCTAGTTCGATATAGCACATTTAAACATTAAAACGGAGGGCGTGCGTTAACTTTTCCATAAGGATTATGCTGCATGTTTTATCAAAGGATCGCACGTTCTTACATATAAAAGATATGAGACTTTCTTCTTTTGATCTTCGAAAACGCGATTGACAGTTCGAAACAACAAGCGCGAAGGCAAAAATGCTGATTAATTAATGTGATCTACTATCGTACGTTTGGTGTTAGAATCGGATTTGCCATCGTATTTTTCAAGAGACTCCGTATTCGAACATTCAAATAGCAGCCGCAAGTTATTCGATACTTCATATTTATCGAAGCTGCAAATATATGCAGTTAAAATTCTCGAGTATTTGTTTTTCAGTCTCGAAGATAGTAATTTGGATATTAATTGTAAATTACAATATTACAATTTGATTTTACTTGTAATTTATAATTGTTTTGTTTTGTAAAGATAATTACTGCAGAATTCGCACGATTTGTTGAAGTAGTGAAATAATTATATCCGATTCGAATACTTACGAATCAGGCATGCAGATACTCGAGAGATCTCATATTGAAATAATCACCGTGGCTGGAATATTATTATCGAATATTCGAATACATTGTACACTTCGAGTAATTCCGACGGCGCTGGGTGGAATGCGTCCAGGAACCATATTCCGAGTTGAATGCGTTGCAATTACAAAACGAGCAGAGCATATTTGGAACTTTCCGAGGAATTCTCCGTGTCCGCGAATTCCTATTTGCGTGTTGTCAGCGCGAAGAAACAGAGTACACGCTATACAAAACGATTTAACGTACGAGCACAGAAGCCTCAAGTCACTCAATGCATACTTACGCGAAATATTGTACATTGAATTACGCTAGAAAAAGTGCCCTTAATCCTCCCACGCTGTCACATACGGGCGCGAAAAAATGTATCTTACTGTTAAATAAAATATTGAATGTGTGTCTCTCTCGTGCAGTGATCTCTAAATCATTTCTATTTAAAAAATTGCACGGTATCAAATTTTATTTTATTTTATTTAAATGTACTGCGGAACAAATTATTAAAAAAAAGATTAAATCATTTCATCATGAAATCTTTCGCGAATGCTTTGATTTTATCTTTTATTTTCTTGCGAAAATTCAAGCGTGAGAAGATTAATGAGAACGTGATAATATTACCCGCCTGCTAATTCTCGACATACAATCATTTAAATTGTATATATATATATTATTACACTTTCTACGCGACTACCACTCACCTTTGATATATTATTATATTTAGTCCCGAAAATAACATCCGTACAAAATTGACTATAGCCGATTGCTTTTATGATGTGTGTTCGAGTAGGTCATTTCAAGATCATTTTCGTGCAATGACAAAAGTGAAGTTTATCGATTACTCTATTCCTTACGTTACTTCTCATCTCATTTTTTTCATATGCCTCATTTTTTCTTCTCTCCCTTTCTGTCTCTTCTCACGCGAGATAGGATGTGTATACGTGATTGACCTGGGATTTTCCGACCGGTAGAGAGTGCTAAATTGTGCTCATAAGATTGAGTGAAACGTTTTCTATTAAGATAAAAAAATATGCGACGAGCATCTGCATAATAAAGATATTTGTTTTTTTATACGTATATGTATGTAAAAGTGTCATTGTGTTGTCCTCCATTTTTCTCGCGTTTTCCTTCATTAAATTAAACAGAGAATATCAAATATCATATTAACGCTAAGTGGCGAAAAAATTGAGATATTAAATTTTGTCGAATAATAAATACTAATGTCGAGTAATAATAATTTTGCTAAATGGTAACTTACTTTTTATATAAGTTATTATTTTTATAACACACAAAAGTTATTATAGACACACAAGCACTTTTTATATACGCATAGTGTATATGTCATAATAGTAATTAAGCAATATTTCACAATTTTGCTGTTACGTGAAATATTTCCGAAACTCAACTTATCAACAATCAAAATGTCACAATATTTTCATCTATGTGCGAACACGTTAATAATTTTAATTACGTTAATATAACTTTTTGGTGATGCTCTGAGTCAAGATAAAATTACTCCGATAACGTAAGACGGCAAATTCGGCGTAAAGATACTTATTGCTGTAATCATAATCTGTGAAAATATCTTCGAGATATAGCATTCATATGTATGTATATATATACGGACGAAATGTTTCAAGATTCATTAATCACTTGTAAAGCTCGCTCAACACGGGATAAGATCGTTCATGAAGGATGCGAGTCCCGCGTTGCTATCAAGATATGCATTTTGCACTTTGCAGTTGCATTATTCTCATTAAATGTGTCGACAATTGATAATGAAAGGTGTTAGCGTTTGGTCCATGGTATAGCTCTCTTCTACTTTAAATAGTAGTAATAATAGTATTCGTATTGATCACAATATTAGTTTTTTCGATATCATCGATGGAACTAAAATACGTGCTCGTGGCTGCGCTTGTGATACTTAGCTGCTAGAAAAGGATCATGATAAGTCCTAAGATCATTAGAAAAATTGCAGTACGCAGTGATTCGTAGGAGTCGCTTAAACCGGCACCGGATATAATATCCTCTTTTTTGTAAGTGATATTATATTTCTCTTTTAGTCAATTTAATATTACATGTCATAAATTCTAATTGACTAATCACATTTCCTTTCAAATACGAGAATATTTTTAACTAAAATAATTTTCAAAAAATGAAATATGAATGATAAATGAAATATGATAAAACTTTTTGTTGATAAATTAAATTAGAACGTTATTAGATTAAAAATATTTGAAAGAGAAAAATACAAAAAGCCACTTATAAGAGAGAAATTAAAATAGCGCATGCGTTATTTTACTTATAATGAATAACAGATATAGAACAGAATTAATTATTAAACTAATTAACTCCGCGTAATGTAGAACCTCCATTTTAAGAAATATTCGTTTATATGTATAATATTCTCTTATATGTTTTTTTTCTCGATTTTTCAGTCTCTTTTTAAAATTGAAATTTTATCCAGCACCGATTTAGACACACTCCGAATTCTCGATTTCTTCTTGAATTCTTTGAACTCGTAAGGATCGAAGATAATGTGACACCTCGTGTCGTATGTAACATCCGGTCGGAGGGAGTAATCAAAATTGACGCGGAGGGGTTGTTTTTTTTCTACATACTTTTATCTTATTAGGCCGAAAGCGCCGTCTTCGAGACGCGCTCCGTCGAATTTTATATTCGGCCGGGCATTGTCCTGGTGCAACGACTTCCATCTCTCTTGAAATGCCACGCGCATTCTCGCATAAATTTTACAAGTGTCTTACGTTATCGCGTTTACGTAATTTAAATAAGTGTTGTGTTATGAGGTTGAATGAAATTCTACGTTGCAGAGTTTACGTTGCAAATTAATGCGCGCACTTTCGCCACTTTCATTGATTCCAATATCATTGTAATAGACGTTGTAGTTACTATAAATTTCATTAGGAATGATAATATAGTTTGCGTCAATTTAATTTACGAAACTATATTTAATTTAATTTATGAAACGATTTTCGAGAGAAGCACCTTATTAATACGCAGATATAAACAAAGTTGAAATTGCTAATAATATAATAGTTTAATTACGAATGTTGAGTAAAAATTTAAATTTGATTCAGCACATTTCACTTTTCCTGATAACGAATGTAATTGCTGGCAATTTTAATTTAATCCGTTACATTTTAATTTACTCCTCGATTAAATTTAGAAAAAGATAGCACGAGGGCTGTAATTTATCACGGCGCAAACGCTAATTTTTTACAAAAGCGTTACAAAAATTACGACAAATTTTCATTCAAATTGAATCTTGATTACGCATAATTTGTTTTAAAAGCGAAAAATTACTAATTTTGTATTATAATTCTAGGACAAAAATAGGAAATGCTGCAAAGTTAAAGTTATTAAAAAACAAATTTTGCGAATGAAACACAACCATAGCGTAACTAATCGATTAATTTTACTAAATTTACAAATTTTTTTATATTAAAATGTATAACAAATGAGTTTCTTTATTTCAGTTCATTGGAATTTATTTCGTTTAAATCTCAAATAATTAAGATTTAATTAGAAAAAAATAAATTCATAGAAATCATAGAAACTGTAAAGTAGAAATTTTTAATTTGTTATTTAAACTTTGAAAAAGAATTATTTGATAATAATTACTTATATGCAAAAATATATATATATATATAGAGAGAGAAAAAGATAGGATAAATAGAGAGAGGAAAACGCGGTAGTTTAATATTTATTTAATGTTTAACTGTTCATTAGAATATTACTTAATGATGCACGCGTGTGTATCTTCTCTTAAAAGCTTTAACATTATTTTTGTGAAAAATGAATGTTATTTCTACTGTATTTAATATTTCTCAATTACGTATTTAATTTTTGCTTACGATTTTATATCCAAAAAATCTTATAAATTATACAAATAGTTCTCTCAAAAAACGATTCTTTTTTCGATAATGTCAATTATTGAAAAGCACGATCAAGTAAAGTAATTAGTCCGACTTTTGAATAAAACGATGAAGTCAGGTTCCAATGATCGGCCATTTCATTTAACGACTTTATGATAATTAATAAATCAATATTCACTTAACCTTTCATAATTTTGCGATACTTCGTAATTCTGTAAGAAAGTCACTTGGTAGTCTCGTTTATCTAACGTCCTTGATCGAACCTTCTTCTGCGAGACCAGTTTATATATGAACCGACAGAAAGTCGCTGCACCGAGGATCGATGCCACGAGGCAAGCGATAGACATCTCTCCGCGCGGATCGCCCTATTAATATTTACAGTAAAGCCGCCTATATATGTACCACTCGATGGCACTCGCACGACGACCGGTCGGTTGTCGATCCACTCGATTTCCATCTTCTCGAAAGTTCCACCCGTGGAAGGATGAGTCTGTACAAAAGTGATGAACCGCGCGCGGGATGCGCGAAAGACACAGATGCACTCTCGCGCGGAGCACTCTTTCTCGCGATTCACTTCGCCGCGATGCGATTCGTTATCCTTAAATTTTCATATCCTAACTTCGGGATGGACCCGACAACACCACTACCTGACGTCGGACGGCACGGATATCTCTCTTTCATGGGATGCACGAGTGCGTGTTGGTCGCCTGCGCGGGCGACGACAGGGCGACCGAGAAGTCCGAGTCCAATACAAGGTCGCTGATGCAACCTACGATGCCCTTCGTGTATCTGCCACCCGTTGTCCTCACGATGTCCGGTGCACCGCCTTCAAGATAAGACAGATCGCATCTCCGTGAAGAAAATTATTGTATCTCATACGAAGGTTAAAGCGAACATACACGCGTAATATTTTCTTAAGTGCTTTTCTAGAGAAATTTTAAAGTTCATTTGCTATATCTATTCAAAATAGAAAAAGAAAAAATAGCTTTTGTTAAGATTGCAGTTAAAAATTGTTCATTAAATATCGATTGGTTTTAATGACACCTTTGCTATTTTCCACGAGGATATGAAATAAATTTATAAAATATTTATATATAATAAAAGAAAACTGGCGACAATTAATATTTTAAGATTACGAATTAATTTAGATTTGTGACAAGATAGTAGTAGGATAAATTTTATTCACTTACCAACGTAAAGACCAGTATCGGTATTCAATTGTCTCAATTGTCCCGGGGAAGATGCCGAGACTCCAGTACCACTATCTACTACGAGAGATGCCCATTGCTCGTTTCTGAAAAAAAATTAATGTTATTCATTGTTTTATTTCGGATAAACCAGTATAAATATTTTTCTTTCCGCCGTTTTTAATAAATCGCGATTTGCCGCCTACAAGAGAGATACTGATATGTTTGTTTTATTCGGTTTCGATAGAATATAGAATAGTATGCAGATTAATAACGCGAAGGTTTATCAAAATATCCTTCCTTTATGGAATTTCACGAAAATAATACTGTTTTAAATGGTAGCCTCGAGCTATATGGAAGATTGAAAATAGGGCAACACATTTGTTTGCACACACAATGTCCACACGGTATTTCCTGTTAACTACAATTTTTTTAAAGCGAATATAAATTCGTTTTTATTTAATTAAAATTGAACCGTAAATACATATACGACTGTTTAACATTAGTCATTTTAGTTTTATTATAAATTATAGTATTTCAATGCATGTATTTTAATTCGCGTTTTGTTGAAAGGTATAAATTAAAAATAGATGTAAATTAAAAAAGGAATAGTAATTATTTCTAAGTAAAAATTTCTAAGATGTAAGTTAATAAAAATAAGAATAGTGATTATTCTCTTGTGTATCGGAAAGGGCATTTTTTCTAACGCATCCCTTAACTCCTTCCTTCACGTATCGATCAGTGTTAGATAAATAAATGTTACGAAAATAGGCGCGCATGCGAAAGGGGAAGAGGATCGATTAACGAAGCGTGTAAAACGCGTTTGTTCTCACCTAACAGCTCTGATACGATGCCACAGATCGTCATCCAATCGCGTGAGATTATATCGGAGCACGGCCTCCCCGGAGCCTAAATTATACGCGAGAGTGAGGTAACCGTGATCCAGACCGAGGGCGAGGAAATCATCGTTTTCATCCTTTTGTTCCTGAGAATCCGACTGTCTACCGCTCCAAAGTAGCAGGCCGCTACTGCTGCTGGCGCGGAATCTCATGTTGATGTCCACTCTGTAGCTGATTATCCTATAAGCGTGCCAACGAGTGCGATTAATAGCTGAGCAAAGAAAATAACAAAAGATCAATCCAAAAAGAGAAGTAATTAAACTCTGCGCGACATTATTATATAATATTTATTCTATATAAAAAGCAGCCTTTAAAATAACAAATCTATCCGTATAAATAAATAATAAAAATCTGTCTGTAAAATAATATACAGCATGAGTTAACTGTTGAAATATGGTGTGAAAATTGACGTAATTGTTTGTTATGAAATAATTAGTGCAATCGTTAAAGGTTTATCTAACGAAATATGATTTATTTCCCCTCAGATTGCTTGTCATAGCGCGACGCGACGCGACGCTCGATAAACTAAATACGGCGTAGCTAAAGCGGGTCAAGGAGCGATTGTGCAACGTGTAACGTTGTTTATCGCTTCGCTCGCTTTTCAAACGCCGCTTTGACATGCCGTTTTTGGCATTTACCGAACTTTTGCCTGCTGCCGATTATATTTTGCGCGTGCGTACATTAATGGAGTGTTAACAGACGAGTCGGCGAACTTTTAAATTGCAAAAATGAATCACCAACGACCATGGGAAATGCGTCAGGTGACACGAGTACGTTCATATATACAGAGCGTTCCGCGTTCTATGAGAATATTTTTATGCGTAATAGTCAATTCGCCATCAAATTGGAAAGCGATTTTTTAAGGGAAAAAAACTATCTACAAATTCGAGGGGAAAAACTATCTATACCAATTCTATTTAATTCAAAAAAAATAGAAACGATTGTGATTTCATTAAAATTCCTGATATTGTAAACGACGAATTTATTTCGCAAAAATTGCACTCTGTCATTCATATTATTATTTATCCACTTATCTATTATTTTTATTCTTTTCATTCTATTTTTCTTTATTTATTATTTATTCTTCATCTATTATCATTTATCTATTTATTTACTTTAGCACTCATATCATTGTTACTATTCTCATTATATCGTGTATCACCTTTTCATCGTATCAGCATCATTGTAATGCAGATAGCTCTCGCTGCCGGTGAAGCTGGGCACAGCTCTCTCGTATCTCGTGGACGTCACAGCGTTGCTGTTGGCTCTAGGAGGAGGTGGTGGCACCAACCGCGTATAATCGTCCAGCGCCGGACACGGGTGCGGTACACCCGGACGGCACCGACAAGTGAATCGCTCGCGGAGAGGCCGGCATTCCGCATCGCCGCAGGGTCTGGCCTCGCACGCGTGCCCGCAATTGCCCACGTTCACCCCACCCAGCGCCTCGGCTAGAATGCCCACCTGCGACAGAGATTATGTAATAGCGATAAAAAAAAACAATGAAGGATAATAAACTGCAAGAACAACATTTGAAGAATACGAGAAGAATTAGAGATATTGTGAGCTCAATAATTTTTTTTAGTGAAAAGCGAAAGCTTTTTATATGGCTTGAATTTCAAGTGGATTTTATTTTCGAGATCTCGCGCTGCTATTATCATTTATTTACAATTAGCCTCCTGTTGTAAACTACATCTATATCAATTACGGGTCAATTGCGTCCTCTTTCAATTTACTTTTATGAAGCAAAAGCGATGATTAGGGATTCAAATTTAGGTAATTCATGTGAGAGCTCTGACTTTATCTACCAGACCAAGAGCTCAAACTCTGAGATGTTCCTACGGTGACATTATCTACCCGCGTAACTTCGAAGGAGCCTGTATAATCCCGAGTGTTCTTACCTCGCGATTATTCAGCACGATCGTCTGAATGCAGCCGACGAAGCTGGCCGTAGTTTTCATCTTCGGCGAGTACATGTCGGACGATGGCGCGCCACCCAAATAGAGGTTCAGCGGTAAGGATAATTGCGTGAACGCCCCAGGCGCCAGGATTTCCTGGGCTGGGTCTTCCTCAACTTCCAGGGAAGCCAAACGACCTGTCCTAGAGACTCGAACTTCGACCCATTCGCCGAGACGAACCGGATTCTCGCTCCTGAAACGATAATGCAGATAGCACATTCAGAAGGGCCGTCATTAACTTTTGAAGGGCCGGCGGGTATTTTGCGAAAATTTTGTTACGGAGAGAAAGGAAAGTTTCCTAATTATTGCATATAAATCCGCACATGAGTCGTACATTATGCGCCATGATAAAGTGCGGTCTCTCCTGTTGGCGGTGACCTGCTTTTTTAGGTCATTTTGATTCATTTTAGGAAAGAGCCGAGGACCTGCAATTGCAAAATGGCATCGAAATAAATCATGAAGATATTATTTTTAACTTTTTATATATTTCAAAATTACGCAGACAATTTTTTTCGAATGCCTTCTCTAGGAAAAAAGTGAAAGAAAAAAAGGACTGTTTCAAATACTTTTACATCTTTATTTTTTTCAAAGTAATGATATCAAGAAAAAAAATAGTTAATTATTTTATTTAAAAGATCAAGATTATATACATGTGCTGCATTTTTTGCTTATATAAATTTTTTATATTGTTCTATCTTTTTCTCTTTCTGGAATAAACACACTATTTTAATCTTCTTTTATCTTTTTTGTTCGTTGAAAAAATTCTGAACAAGAAAATGAAGTATAATACGAGAGATGATATGGCTTCCTTTAGCTAACGAGGTACGACGCAAGATTCTTGAAGAATATATTCGAGGTAAGGGAGATGATATTACTTTTTTTTCAGATTTTGTGAACAATTCAATTTTTTTTGAAAATGAAGTCTCACTCGCGAGATCAAATTTTCCCACTATATCTATTCCTTTTTTCCTCTCATGAAAGATTATTTTTCCCGTGACTTTTCGATTTTGCGAGATACGTATATTTTGACATCCTATCTCTCTCACGCTGAAAATCTAACGTCGAAAAACCTCTCGCCCGGAGCAACTGTACTTTCGTCGAAACGAAGCTCTCCGCGAAAACACGTTAGCGCCAAAAAAGTGAAACGAGAATCGCGCTTCGGGAAATTGAAATGGTGCCTTTCCACGTCCACGCCAAGCAATTAACGCGCGGTTCATCCCTCCTCGCCACCGTCTACAATTATAATCAATGTTAACTCGATATTGACGAACGCTCCATCGATTTGATTTCGCAACAACGCCCGGGAGACCAAGCCAGCCAAGCCGACCCGGAATTTTCCTCCGGAGGAACGAAAATTCGCGCATGTACTGCGAAAACTTTACACCGCCGCAAAATCAGATCATCCAATTTGAATTTTACGAGAAAAGTCCATAGACAAAGATCCCTCCTCAGAGGCGAGGAGAGACGTGCATCTTTTTCCGCTGGGATTCGACGGAAGAAATTCTCGTGTAATTAATATTGAATCGCGAGACAGGAAGACAAGTGAAAGAGAAGGTGAAGGGGAGGGTTCGTAAGATCATAGGCGGAAAGTAAATTGCTAATTAATGTAGAAGCGAAAGAGGGAGTCGGTAATTTTCATATTGGGTTTTTCGCTCAGCGCTATTATGATAAAAGATATGGTGCTCTTGGAACTTGGAGGCTCGCTTGTTAACTGGTTTTTTCCCAGACGCGAGATTAAACATCCCTGCTTAATAGCGCGCGAAATAGTATGCGTTTTTTATATAACGAAGTTTCGTTGCGGTTGCTTTTTATTTGATATAAAACATAAACAGCGATATTATATTTTCATATACGAGATTTATTGTGTTTATTGTTTATTTTGTGTTTATTGTTATATTTATATGTTTGGTGTTTATTTTATATATGTATATATAGTGGGGAATATAAATTGCATAGAGCATTTAAGTGTTCCTATTCAGATAAGCTGTCATTAAAATATCTAATAATAATAATTGCTTTAAAATGCGTGATAAATATATGTCGCTCATGTATTTATTTTCTTTTTTAATCAAGACATTACAAGATATTAAATAATTTTCATTTTCTAAGCAATTGCTTTTATAATTCTTTGTTTAATTTGAAATGATTTCAATTATTATAATATTTAATATTAAAAATCGAAAATTTGCAACATATAACAATTTCTTCCGACATATAATAAATATATATAATAAATATAATAAATTATGTATTCATGTAAAAAATATGTGATTGTATATGAAAATTGTATATAAAATAGATTATATTTATTTTATAGCATAAACATGTGCTATAAATTGACAACATGTATTTTCTTTCAATTTTCGATTTATTTAAAATTTACTTTAAAAATTATTATTATAAAAAAATATCAAAGGAAGAATAATGCATATTTATATTTTCTCTTATTTGAATATTTTGTTCTCAGAAATGACATCATGATATATAATGTTTCAATATTATCAATTTTAATATGCACATAAAATATTTGAATAAAAAATCTTTTAATTCTTCCACAATATCCCGGACCTTCAATTAAAATTAATACTAAAAAATGTAAGTACGTTTGATTGTACAATTAGTAGAAACATTTATTTAATATTTGCATTAATTATATAAAATGGTACTGAACAGATTTGATCGATTCTACTTAATAATAACTTTATTGATTGTTAATTATTACGATAAATTAAATCAAATCAAACAATCTGATTAGCATTAGCATTCGTTAACGATTCGTTTTTCGCAAAATAATAGCTTCGCGCTTTCATCATGGATATAATTTTTCAAAAATATTTACATTCTTTTTACATTAAATTTTAGAATGATATTTAAAAATATAATAATTTTAATTAATGTAAATAATGTTAAATGATATAATATACTATATCATCGAGAAATAGCTTAAATATCGAGATAATCGGTATCAAAAAACATAATTTATTATAATTATTTATTAAATATTTCTATTATTTATTCAAAAGAGCATTTGTAAAGCTTTTGATCAATTTTGCTTAACATTAATCTCATTCATCGTTAATTAGTGCAACGAATTAAATCAATCTCAATAATCAACAGTGATCGCATCAACATTTCATTTATTTGGCGAGACAACGGCACAAAAAATCTCGAGTATCTCGCATACGATATCGACACGCGTATGTCGATTTAATTGTCTGACGATGCGTATACAAACGATGCAATTAGCGCCCCGTCGACGTGGCTGCGCGGTGCGAGTAACAATGTCTATCGCGAAATGAACAGCTTCAGAGAGCGGATTGTCACCTCGAGCTAGCTGTTCGTTGCGCTCGGCAGAAATCTCGCTCGCAGAAACTTGTTTGAGGGTCGTCGGCTTACCTCAGAGTGGCAGGTCCTGTTCCGAGGTCGAAAGTGAACTGCACGTGGCCTGAGGAGAGATAGAGCGCAATAAAGTCACCGGTGGCGTCGCTGTGATGCCCGTTGTAGAGTATCACCCCGTCCGACGCCGTCGGTTTTAACGTGACGGACAATTCCAGCCACGACAGCGACGTGTCCGCCAATCCCGGATAACGTAGGTAAGAGGATCCGTTGAAGGATGGAACCTGCAAAAATAAAATCCATGCGGTCTGAGATTGCATGGAAATGTCGTTACTAGGGAAATGCATTTCTCGTTTTTGCCCCTTGCTCTTAATTCGCAATTGATCGATTAATGCGTTGTATTTTGTTGTGTCTCATGTGCCTTTTAACCCGTAATCAAACGATATAAAAAACTGCAAATTCATTTTATTCAGCGAAATAAATCTCATTCATCTTTGAATAATTTAAGCACACTTTGCAAATGATATAATTTGCAAATTCTAGACAGAATTCTAATTATAATTTTACATGTATAGGAATTATTTGAACAAATATAAAACAGACATGTATAAAATACATGTATATTAGAATACACACATATATACGTTAAGAGACGCATAAAATTATAAATGAAATTCTATCTTGAATTTTGTTGCGAATTATAGATTGTCTAAAGTTAATTAAATACTCGATGTTTTCCTAATCGAAATCAAGAAGGATTTATTGCGAGTTTTTAACATTTAACATTAAATATCTATTTATTACTCGTTTCATAGTTATTAAAAAAAAATTCGGGAATTAAAAGAAAAATATATCATGCTAATTCCTTGCACCGTTGATGCACAGTTTATTGGAAAGCTTTTCATTCATAATAATTTATAACTTTAAAACAATTAATCCTCTCGATGCCTTTGTTCAAAAAGAATCGATTTCAAATTATTAAAGAAAAAAACATGACACGGTATATCTTGTGCATTTATGTGAAATAAAGAATTTATTTTTTAGAAATAAAATTGTGTGATCGATTTTATCTTTAAAAATACATTAATTTAACATTAAATTGAAAATTATGTGATAAAGAATTTCTTTGTTTGTTAATTAAATCCACGCATTAGTAGAGATTTCTTATAATGATGTTCTGGATATAAAACGCTAATACCACGCTAACTCGCGTGTACAATAAATGATAATGTAAGTTCAAGAAGGAAATTGCCATAATAATTTAGCTGCCTCGCAGAGAACACGAAATCTTAACGTTTATCGTATTCGTAAGTAACGATATTCCAAGGAGAGATTATTATATTCTAACAATAGAATCTTTACGAAAGAGAAAACTAAATATGGATCGTAGAAAGTGAAAAGAGATATCTTAAAAATTCAATAATTTCGTTTTAATTATGAATTATTTATTGAAAGAGAATCTATTTAGATGAACGAGATGATAAACATTTTTCCGATGAAACAAATATATTAATTTTAATACATTATATATGTTACAGATACAATTAATTGCTTTTGCATCAACTAATTTAGTGTTTTGCCGACATATTAATTTATCCAGTTATAACTGGATGCAAATAATTATTTTACTATATATTTCCTATATTCTTAATTATAATGAAAGATACACTCTCATCGTGATGAAAAAAAGATTTTTTTTTTATTAAAAATATTTTGCCATGTCTCTCTCTTTCTTTTTTCTGCTATATATGAACTTGCTTTTATAAATTTTATTCCTATACTCGTAATTTTAAAGCGGTGATATTTCTTACTATTACAGATGTGCACAGGCGTTTGGTTCTCATACGCGCATCTCTCTTGCGGGAACTGTAATAACTCTCCTTGTCGTCAAGCATAAAGTAGAGAAACTCTCGGAGAACAGCTGTTATTTAATTTACGACCGACGCGGGATTTTGTGCCTTTCGTAAATCGAAATGCAAATACATTGTATGTCACTGTCTCGGATAATCCTTGATATAGCTGCATTCAAGTGCCTTAAGAGCAGTAAGAGGTCGAAGCGAGGCTGCCTCTGCCTTAATGAGACTGCCTGGTAATTGTTTGTACGTCAGTTGCCTCTCAAGATAAAGCATAAAACGTAAACGCAGAATTCCTCGTCGAATTATGGTACCCCGATATTTCGCAAGATTCAAGTGGAAAACATCAACGTATACGACGACATGTATTTTATCTATAAATATATCATCAGGCATGAGACGGGCAACATATGCATGCGAAAGCTTCGCATTTTCATCTCGCATCGCGCGTGTTGATTCTTATACTTGTTATATAACGTATATTTATTCAAGAAGTCAGCACAAATTTGTATTAGGGACGGGAAGGGGGAAGAAAGTGCACTAAACAAAATGTAACGGAAAGGAAGGCAACATATATTATTCCTTCTCGTGATTTTAAATATTGTAAACTGAAACAAAAGTATATAATTAAATATAGAGCTTGAACGAGGTAAAAAACTTAACACTCCGGCGTTCACTTAATTATAAATATATTCTATGATTTGCGTACAAGAAACTTTCGAACACAAATGTTTTAAAGATTACTTTTTGGAATAAATAAAGGCTTTCATTCACGATTAAGAAGATAATTCTGTCCATTTTCTCGAGAATTTTCCAGAAAAGTAAATTCTGTTGGATTTTTTAAAGTAAACACGGATATATATATATATATACATACATGGGATTTCTAAAAAAAAATTAAGTCCGAGAGAGAAATATATTAAAAGAATAAGATTTCATTATTAATTTCTTTTTTCATAAAGCTCAATTCGTTGAAATCCAAAATAATTTAATCTCTCTAGAGATCAAAAGCTATCCGCCTCAATAGTTCTATTTAGGAAACCCTAGTTTTTGAGAGCCACGAGTATATATTATGCACAAATCACATTACATAAATATCATTTTCTATCTACTATTTCACTTCGCTCGAAACTTATTCAATTTCTTCGCTCAGATGCTCAAAGAAGCTTTAGTGTACTTTTCGTCGATTCGTTCTTCGGAAGTAGCACGAAATTCGAAAAATCAAAGGCAAGCGAAAGCGCGAACGGTCCCTTCAAAGTCCGGCACGAAGGCGCTGTAAATTAATTACGATAAAACGAGAGGCACATCCTGACAGCGCCATTAAGTTGACCGAGCGCTCGCGCAGGATAAGATGCTCCTATAAGAAATTTCCAGCCATCACACCGCCTACGCGCGCTCGTTGGCCTGCTCTCCTTTTTCCCCTACATAAAAGCTACGTCCCGGTGATAAGGAGCTCCCACGGGAGTGTCGGTGGAGGAGTAACCTTGTATTATGCGAAAGAGACTCGTAAGATCCCTCGGGGAACACCCTTTCTCACCGCTTACGACATCGTCCTTCTGTCCGGCTCATGTCGTGCTGATGCTCACGGCGCGAAGACCGTTGATAGGTTCACGAAATTTTTACGAGGACATTTCGTACTCCGAAATGTCGCGTTGTATTATCGAGTACACGTGTCATCCCACGTCTACTATTATATAAATATCATTAAAATTATTAAATATTGTTTCATCGCGACCGTTTGATCTTTAAAAGTAGTGCTTCGTTGACTCTATTGATTTTGTTGTTTTATTGCGGAAAATGTTTTTCCGCTCGGCGTATTTACAAATTTTAATTCTATATTATATTAATTATATTTAATTACGTTTGTATATTATAAAATTATGTATATTTAAAATTTACTTTTCTACAATAACTAATTTATTATATATGCGTGAGAAAAATACAGAAAAAAATTAGAAAACAATTAATGATATAGCTGCGTTTTCCGTCCTCGGAATATTATTTGCTTATGAATAATATAATGAATATTCTAATTATTTTAATTTAAATAATAAGTCAAAGAATACATGCTTAATGATATAATTAAAAATGTAATCAACATTTTCATTGTCTGACATATCTTTTAAAATATTATATATATAAATTTTGTTTTATCATTAATAAATAAGTTTAATACATTTAATTTTTTCAATGAAATTTGAAAATGTGTGATCTCTTGACATATAAAATCAGGGTTGGCATGTTTTAAACAATGTGTTTAAAACTGTTTGATTAAAACTTGTTTAAAACAGTGGACACTGTTTTAAACATTTTTGTTTTAAACTGTTTTAAACTATTGTTTAGAACTGTTTAAAATATCGCAAATAAAATATATAATTATTTGGAAAAGAAATTGTAAAAAAAATCAAAACAAATAAAAACTTATAGATGTGTATGTTGCAAAAAAGTTTTTGTTTTAGTGTTTTTAGTTTTTTATCTATATTTATGTAATATATAGATATAAAAATGTAAATAATAAAATAACAGTGATATTATTATAAGGTATTATTTTAGCAGAATATATTTATTTTTGGATATTAAATAACAATCAATACAATAAAGATTACTTAGAAGATATCGACTAACTTTACATTTTACATATTAGCATTTTAAATTAATAGTACATAACTCATAGCAGGTCAGTAGTTCTAAAAAAAAGTTCTAGTTAATAATATTTAATATATGATACTTTGGTTCCTTTCCTATTCTTATTAAGTAACCTCATGCTTAACTCTCAACATAAATTATAAATAAAAGAAAAATAAAAAACCAATTCTTCTTTTTAAAAAAAGAATTAAGGTTTTTTTATTTTTATGTTATGTACTGTTAATTTAAAATGCTAAAATGTAAAATGTAAAGTCAGTCAATAACTTCTAAGTAATCTTTATTGTATTGATTGTTATTTAATAAAACTAAATTCTACTAAATTCTACTAAATTCTACTAAAATAATACCCATCTTATCATTTTTATTTTATTATTTATTTTATTATTTTTTAATAGCGTTGTCAATTTTGGCAACGTTATTTACAGTTTAACGCTAGCGAAAAATTTAAATATTCACACAGATCAAAGCTATTAAGTTTTTTTTTTGCTTGTTTAAAACATGTTTTTTTTATTTTACTTAAAAACACAAATAAAACAAAAATCATTGTTCTAAACCAAAAAAAAAAACATTTTTTGTTTAAAATAAAAAAAACAAGTTTATTGCCAACCCTGTATAAAATCTCTCATAATATCAACATATGTAAATCTCTCTTAACATATAAATAATTAATATAAATATCTACACAAAGAAAATTTCGGAAAAAATCAACAATTTAATATTTCACAACGATTCTTTTTTATGTGAGGTACTCGTCTTTTTCTATTTTGACCCATATCCGGTATTTTATGTCGTTGTATAATCCAGTAATTCTTTCGTTGGATGTGTAATTTTCAGAAAAGCCTCACACGTTTCTTTTTCACTTTAGCATAGAAAACTTCAAGCATAAAATTGTAAATAGCATAAATATTATAAAAAAATTTATTTTCATGTTTTCTTAAAAAATATATCGAATAAATACATATGTCACATTCTAATTTTAATTTTTTTCCATATATCAATTTACAAAAATTTAAGTAAAATAAATTGTACAATGGAAATTTCTTTATTACCATCATTATACCAGATTTTTTACTATCACATATCATTATATCTGTTCAAAATGGAGTTTTAAAAAATTCATTGTCCTATCATTTTTCTACATTTATCTCAATTTACAGAATTTAATGGTAAAGTAACAGCTCAGCTTTATCTTCTACGTTCCGACAAGGAAATTCGTCGGATATTTATTTTGCGCTTCACCGGATAAAGCATTATGTTTCTCGTCTCGTGCAAAGGAACCAATGAAAATGTGTCATGCGCATTCCTTATGATAAAAGTATACCGTTTGAGTCGTTTAGTTTTACTTCGACGTTAGCGTTTTATTTCGACATCCGGCAACGGATCCTTCTTCCGAAAGACGTTACAAAAGTGGTCGTCGTCGTCGTAAATTACGAGGATATTCCGGCGACATTTGGTTATTGCGGCTATATCTCTTCCGCTTGTACGTTAATGGAATTAAACTCGAGAACAGTCGGGGGCGAGACCAAAGTTCGAGAACGAGTTTCGAGTTTGAAGTGATACTCGTTAACTCTAGCCCTTTATGGCCGTTTCTCGAGCTAGTTTATGTTCTGATTTCGAGATCGGAAATGCGGCGATCCATCCGCGATGGCGATACATCCTCCCATAAAGATTCTTTCACGCGAAACGCAATACGAAGAGCAAAGTTGCTTCTTTACCTTTAATACGTTGCTTTAAATTTGTTGCGTCATGAGCTAAACGTTAATTCTGGGATCCGTAATTTCTTCCGAAACACTTAATACGATTCAAATTTTTATTTGCGTCTATTAATTTTTTTTATTCAAAATACTGTTCTTTGTAAAAGCCAATCGCGATTTAATTCTTACATTGCTTACAAAGCTGATACGTAATATTTCCAATTCTAAGTTCTGAATATCGATTGATACACTCTTTACACAAGTGTCCAAATGTAATTTCCGATTCGTACATGTGTCACCTCTTTTGCTTTGAAAACGATTCAGTTGACCCTTGTGAGTCGATCTTGGCTATAATTGCCATTGACACCGAAGGCAAAATGCTGATATGTCACTGCTGCATGTGAATGAATCTTTATATAGTTCGGCGTTCACGATGTCGTTTTGTCGGAAGTAATATCGGTCGAATGCCGATACCAATTTCATCATTTCGCATCGGACCGAACCACTCTACCTTCCGCCATTGCCATAATCGATATCGTATATAACCCATGCATAATCCTAGTTGTGCACAAGTTCGCGCGGGCAAACCGCATATGGTGACTTCCGGCGAATGCGATCGCGTTCGGTCCATTAGATCGCCTGACATAAATTCTAATATGTATTGGTTGATCTAAAATATTTATTATATATATTATATATATATATATATATATTTATTATATATATAATAAATATTTTAGATCAACCAATACTTATTAATATTAAAATTATTGTCTTATTAAAATTTATGTCAGGCGATCTAATGAAAATTATATATAAATATTATATATAAAATTATATATATATATATATATATATATATATATATATAATAAATATTTTAGATCAACCATACATATAGCGTGTATGTATATTGATTCGCGCGTGTTAGATGTCTTTCTACTCATTTAAACCGTCTCATTAGCGGCGCGGATTAATTACCAATAGCCGTCCGCTTATTGCTGGTATAAACATGTCATTTATGAAGCGGCTGGACGCGATCGATTCTCGTATCGCATTTGGCGGCGTCGAAATAATGCATATTCAGAGAACCGCTTGTTAATATTAAACGAGTAATGACATTTTAAACGAAAATGATGTGAAATAATCTGAATAAAATTCAGGGATATAAATCCTGATATCTAATCTTGCTCTAAGAGATCCGTTAAAAGATGAAATATGCGATGAAAGACGAAAGAGTCATGAAAGATTCTTTCTTCGCTCGTAATTGACGCAGGTCTAATTTAGAACAGCTGATTAAGTCAAGCTTATTCAACGTGTTGTTTACGCTAATCGGATAATGTAAGCCGCATGTAAAATCAGCCAAAGTTCTTAAACATGATGGTATAATGTAATAATGTTGTGTCTGATATGTACGATGTTAACACGTTCGCTGTCTGTGCATCCGTAAATGTGCATGCAATATCATCTTCTACAAGATGTATGTAGCGATGTATGTAACGATGCTTTACCCACCTGATATTCCCAAATGATATTGTCTTAAAATCTTAGTTTTATCGCTTTTAAATTCTTATTTTAATTATATAAAATCACACAAAAAAAGAGCAGATATGAAAAAACAAATTTAAACAGTGTACATATGGTTAATAAATCCTCCTGAATCGTATAAATCAATAGATTGTTAAATTGCAAACGCAAATTCCATATGTAGATATGAATCAAACATAATATGGCGGCACAATGTAACACATTGTGTTTATATTCGCGGAATAATGTGATGCTTGTCGATGTTTCAATAAAAGTTCAGACTACTTGTATTCATAATATCTAAAAAAATTTATCTCGATCTGTGTCAAAGTTTATTTCTCTTGTTTTCAATCTTCATTTTATGTAATTTTCTCATACCAATTACTTTCTAAAGAAAATTAGCATACAAGAAGATAACGTTTCAGAAATGTACGTGTTAAATCGTTGAAAATATGAAAAATGTGTCATATAAAAACTTTTAATCTTTCATTAATTGAAAATATATTGCAACAAACGTTATTAGCATTTTTGCTTAATATTTATACAATATCAGAAATGTTTGCTATTTAAAATTGGACTTCAGATCATAGATATTTATTACGTATATTATTATGTAATTTATGTCAAACGATAAGAGTTTTAGTAAAAATGAAAAAAATAGAAATTTATTATATCATTGCTTTCCGTTGGTGCAAGGCAGCAAAGGTAATTTATTTTTATAACTGTTTTATAATATATTCACATTTTTCAATTAAACACCTTTGCTTATTTTTTGACATGTTTAACAATATAAATTTATGCAATGCTATAATATCTGTAAGAAAAATTATACGTGAATGAAACCCATGCAATTTAAACTTTACATGTGTCTTTAAAAAATGCAAAAAAAAATGATAAATGCAATATACGATAGTGTGCCCATCTATGTCAATTTTAAAACAGATTAAATCAGTATAATTCGCTTATACTGATATCGTATTCTCACAATAAACTGATGAAATCTTTTTCGTTATTTTTAACAAGTGATTTTCTGGCTTTTTAATTTTATCGATTACCGCTAAATTACAGCGCACTGCGGAGGAAATAATACCGCGCAGCGTTATATGAAACCCTAACAAGGGTTCGCATAATATCGCATTCCCTCGTATAAACTCAGTGATATGTTCGTGCGCTTATAATTCCTTTGGAAATGATTCGATTACCTGCAGGTCCACCCGGGTTTCGCAGAGATCGCCCGTGTAGCCGAGCGGGCAGAGACAGACAGCGGTGTCGCCTCCGGTCGTCAGGCATTTTCCACCGTGAGAACACGGCACCTTGCTGCACCTGTCGGCCGTGCACTCCTCTGAAACGACAATAAATCAGGCGATTTAATAAAAGTTCTAGCGGCAGGATGTGAAATCGAGAGTTACACACGCGAGCGAAAATCGGATCGCAGAAGCCGAGACAGAGAAAAAGAGAGGGAACCCGACTCGACTCGATACGAGAGATTTCGACTTGCGCGCGAGATAAAACCAATAAAACCGCTCGACAGACCGTCCTGTTCGATTTATCGGAGCGTAGAAGTATCAATTTCTCTTCCGCCTCATCGTATTTTCGACGGTATCATTTAGCGCGCGCGAGAGCATTGACGGGAGGATTTTTTCGTTCACGACGTCAACGATCGCGATATAGCTTTTCGACGTTGAGTTTTACGATGGGACAGCCTGTCGGAAATATGCCGCATTCTTCTCTTCGTCGCGAAATTTATATATTTAACACTTTCATATATCTAACTCCCAGCAATATTGCGAAACGAATTATTTTAGCTTCTCCGAGAGTTATTTAAATTTTTTACATATTACAATATATAACTCCTCTCTACAAAACAAAAGCGAAACGAAGAATTGAAATCTATTAACTAAAGTTCATTCTTTAGTATTTCATCGCGCAACTCTTGCAAATAATAATTAGAAATGTATATTCATTATCTAAGTAAAATATATAATTTGCATCAACGATCAAGTTGCAACTTGCTATATTACAAGAAGCGCAATAGCGGGAGTGAAATTATTATTAGAAAGATAAAAGTTTGAAAATCGAGTTGATATCAACTTTGTGCCGATGAATGATTCGGACGATTTTTTTGCTTTCTGCCGATTATTCGAGCGCGACGCTCGAAATGCTCGAACTTCCGGAATTTGAAGTTTTCCAATCTAACGGATGTTATCTTTTCATGAGTCTGCCTATATACGGTAAACGTAGACCGAATCGAAAAGTGACGCGAAACTTTCGATTTGACCCGTCTCGTCTGTCTCATGCCACGCCATTGTAACAAATCGATAGTCGCAGACTGAAAATAATAAAGCGAAATAATAACTAAAGGAATAATTTATTTCGCTAATTGATGTTTCACATATTAATGAGACTTTGGATCATTTTACATGCATGTATCAATTCTTTTCACCATATATGACGTTGGTTCTCATTTAGAATTAATAATCTCCGATTAAAGTAAACTTTATTATAAACATGTTTTTGCTTCTTTTATTTTGCAATTTAACGTTTTATTAATTATAAGAGATTATAATTTTAAATATTTATTAAAAATTAATACTTAAATTATATTAAATTATTAAATTTAGAATTAAATCTTTTTCATTAATTCGATTTAATTTTTAAACATTTTTTAAATCCATGATTAAATTAATTGCTAGTATTAAAAAATTTGATTTTTATTTATAAATTTATAGTTTATTACTTTTTAGACATAATATTTAGTTTTACAAATTCTACATATAACACTACACTCAACATGATTGATAAAGATATCTTTTATTTTTTTAAATCTTTTCTTTAACTGGAATTATTCCCTTCAATTTTTTACAGTATTTCTGGAGAGTTGTGTTATATATTTTAAAGTATAAAATAATCACAAAAAAATAATAATTCATTACGAATGTATGTAAATCATGTACGCGTAAATTAAATGGCTCTACATCAATTACCGCAGTTACGCAGATACACATTACATATAAAACATAAATAAAAACAAGTTCCACTCTTGGTAATTAATATTTTATACAATGGTGCCTTGTTAATATAAATTGTAAATATCGTACTGCGTGTGTGCAATATATAACCGATATAACGGTTACTGTCTGTAATTGATTATGCTATATATTTCAATTACTTCTAATGCATTATATTTGTATATCTCTATTTATTATAGGTACAGATATCGATTTCTTATAAACTCGATTCTAAAAAAATATGTAAAACTTGCATCAATAATATGTACTTTTAATGGATAGATATTTCAGAAAGAGAGAATAAATTGTGTATATGTGTGTTTGTGTGTGTGTAAAGAAAACAGAAATATATATTTCGTAAAAATAAAATATTAAATCAATGAAAATTATTCATGCGAAATGTAAGACGTGTTTTTATTTCATTCTTTTATTTTAAAACAAATACTTAATCTGCCTGCAAATATTCTGCATTTGCTTCGTCATCATGTATTAACTTATTAGCATACAAATTTTTATCGTTTATTAATATCTGTTGGACGATTGATTCGAGTATACGATCGATTGCAAAATATGTAAATTATATTTCGCATATATTAAGAATAATGACTCTCTCGATGTTACAAAATTGAGATAACATTTGACTGGTTACATCGTGATATAAATACTAGGCAGATGTCCATTACTCAGAGGTAATTAATGCAACATACATGAAGCAGCTGTTGAATATAGCCAGACCTAAACGACTTCCTCCAAATGTTGACAATTAATTACCGACACTCCAGTAGCGATAACGATAATTATTACTTGTGCGATAATCAACTTTGTCCGATGACGTAGTGATTTCTCCTTTCGCTCTTCTTACAAACGAGTAAAATCATCCTATGATTGTATCTCAGTTGCCGATATAATTAAACAGAGCTTTCAAATATCGCACAATTTCAACTTTTTTCTCCAACAAGAAAAGTTCGACAAACCGTAAATTAAAAAAAATTTGAAACTACATACGCGCGCGCGGCTATAAAGTAATACAATCCTGCTACAGAACAATTTTTCGTTACGGGTAAAAAAAAAAAACGATATTAAAAAGAGAGCAAACATCCTTTTAACTTTACAACAATTGTTTGAATATATTCTATTCTGTTCGAGAATATATTAAAGATGATGAAAAGAGTTAAATAAAAATTGCTCTTATATTTTTATGACATATAAAATAGAAGTGTGTAATAAACCATTCAAAAAATTCAATATTTGATATGAAAAGATTACTCTTTTTATATTTCTATCGGATATTTAATTTCGATGATGTTATAGAAATCATAAAGGTATTTTTTTTTTAGAAAATTGTGCTGCCTTTAAGAAACGTTATTTATTCGCTAAGAATATATAATAAGACTGAATTATATCGTGCTTTATATTTCTAACACAAAGTGTCATTTTCTTTAATTACAGATAGCCTAATATGTTCTATTAAATCTTTAAAATAGTTTTTTTATTTTTATTTTTCCTTTTTATTGAATCCTTTTTATAGAATCAATCTTTTTATTTCTATATTTTTATTTCTCGTAAAATTTTATTATTATCTGCGACACATAAGCACATTATATTGACATCTATTTTAATAAAATGTAGAATCGTTTTTCAACAAGTGAGAAAAGCTCGTTATATATATTTTTGTCACATCTATTTAGACGAATAATTTTACACAACATTGATTTTTTCTCATAAGAAATCACTTGTCGGAAATAAAAAATTAAATGAAATTCAATACAAAACAAATTGGAGTACGTCATTTATTGTCTTGCAAACAACAAAATAATAAAGTGACTCGTAATAAGTAACTATAAATGCATAAAAAAAATTATTATTATTTACGTTCTCTCGTGCGACAACTATAAAGTTGACGTAAAGTCAGGCGCTAAAATATTTGAAACAATAATGATTATAAGCTATAATTAACCTTCTTAGTTATGGCATATTCGGCACTACGGGATATCCAAATTAACAACTATATCGACAAACGGACAACAGGTGTCACATGAATTTAGGTGGCAAATCCTCCGACGCCCGCTCGATTTAACTCTGAATATATTCTCCGTTTTCTTTTTTTTTACTTGAGGTGAGAAGCGAATTCCCCAAGTAGTTCGAAGTCCCAAGCGCGTCTCGGCATTTAACTCGCCGAAAGATATAATTGTAATTAACCAGATTACAACCTTATATAAAGCGTTATGTGTCGCATGTATATAAAGCAATATACATTAAATGTAAAAAAAAGGAAAACTGCAGACTACATCTAATTATTTACGTAAAAACTAAACATCTTGATTGTATAATCGTTGGAATGATTAAAGCTTTCTGGAATCACTGATTTTATGAGAATAAAATATGCGCGATTAAGATATATAGAACTAAGATATATAGAAGATTAAGATATATAGAATTGTCATCGAAATTATTCAATATCTAGGAAAGTTCGACTCGGCGGAAACCGGATGCTGCACCGTGATTCTATACTTACCAACGTCAAATCCGTTGGCAGCGTCACCCTGCGGGGCCAATGGGAAACGATAGTGATGCTCGTTCGCCTCCAAATGCCGGATGCAGCCCTTAAATCCGGTCCTCACCGGAAGTCGCTCCAAACCGGTCGTGTTTCCGGGTCCGCCGACGAAGAGCGGCTCGCGGAACGTAATTCTCGAGAATAATCCCTGGAATTGAGAAGCCAGAATTCTCTAGTTACACGTATGCAGAGCTGTAGCATAACATGCTGGCAGCGCAATTGCGGCCACCTGATTAATGCATGAAATATACTTGGCATATGAATGCAACATTGGCTATTTCTTTGTATATTTCTAAATCGAAAAAACAAAAAACTAATAAAATAGTAAAACTGTTTCTTTTTCTCTCATACAAAATTTTATTATTTAAAAATTTAATTCACATTTTTTGTTGTATTAATTCTGATATAATAATGGAATATCTTAAAAATAAAGATATCTGTGTGTAGCGAATTTGTTGAAAAGTCTAATCAAATAACCACGTTGTGATTCAAACCAGTCGCAAAGCGAACAAATGAAAATTTAAAGCCGGCGGCTACAATGCAGTTATTGCGGAAGAAGCACGGAAGAGCGACGTGAAATAGGAAATTCCTCCATGTCTCTTAAAATCTGTGCTACTTTCGTGTCGCGCATTTTTCACATTCTCTATCTCATATTGGACGACAAACTATGCCCATTGTCAGCCAATACATAATGTCGTTTTATCGTGCATTTTGTATTCAAGTACGCGCGCAATCATAGGTTTCCTTTCAAGGAAATTCCTCAAATCGAACGAGAAAATTGCGCGCGGTCATGAAGGCGTTGCTAACCAGCTTCACTTTAGTTTTTTACTCACTTCCTTTTCCAAAGCGATGAGAATGTGGCAAGAAAAAAGGGAGGAAGATGAAGAAATAAAGAGAAAGAGAGAGAGAGAGAGAGAGAGAGAGAGAGAGAGAGAGAGAGAGAGAGAGAGAGAGAGAGAGAGAGAGAGAGAGAGAGAGAGAGAGAGAAAGAGACAGAGAGGGAGAGAGAGAGCTGGAGAGAATAGAAAATAGTGGAGAGGTCAGGGGTGGCTTCTCTAATTACGATGCTGTCGTTAGGACACCAAGTGCTTAATGGCACTCTAGGATAAAGTGGGCTTGAAACGCGAAGCCATTTGCGATGCTGCCCGATTTTAAAGGTAATTAAACCTAACCTGGGAAAAACAGATGGGTTGAGAACCAGCCGATAATTCCTCGTTATCATACTGCTATCCTGAGCGCCCGTGAGACTCGTTGAAGAAAGAGTATTGGCGGAAAAAATAGATGACATTTATCGACTTGCTCTGATATTTAGTATTCTCGGTGTTGGTTGCTGAGTTCGAAATTTGCTCGATTATATATAATATAAATATGTTTTCCATGTTTATATATTTGTTTACATTACGATTAGAAAAATTATAAAAAATTTATAATTTAATTAATTTTTAAGAATTTTATAATTTTAAAAAAGAATTTTTAACATTGGAAGAATTTTATAATTTCCCAATCAATTAAAAATAGATTCAGCAAAAATAAATAAAATATGTAGAAGAAATTTTTTTTTTCGTATAAAAAGACTTTATTTTTAAAATAAAATTAACTTTGAAATTTAGAAAATTAGTAACACATATTTTATGCTTTTTGTGTTATGCGAGAGCTTGGAGCACAAGAAATCACTTGTTTTCAGTTGTATTATGTTTTTTAACTTACTCTGAGATGCCTGTTCTTATCCATAAAAGTATATTACTTAAGATCAGTGTTCATCTAAGAACTTTGCAAATTAGTGATCTAGTTGTTCATAAGTATCTCTGAAAGACTATCCGTTATCATCAGTGTAAAAAGGCTCTGCAAGTTTCGCTTACACTTCTGATCCTTCGTCCTGACGCTGCATCTCATTTGCAAAATAACAAGGCAAACGAGCATCGTAGTATCACGAGTAAGCGATGCAAACCAAATTAAGAAAAAAGGAACAAAAAGTGCGCATAATACAAGTGTTGCGAATACGATTAAAACAGGGAGCGAACTAGTTAACAATAAGATTCACAAATTTATTTGCAAAACAACTCCGACAACCTCGCTTTACACATCAAAGAACATTATACTGCGTTTGCATTAAAAAGAAGTCACGTTATCTTGCACGTTGATGCATTATAAATTAAATCGTCGACTCTTAATTAAGCTCAATTTTGTTAGACTTTCAAAATATGAATTTTGTAACCAAATTCTAAATATATCGAAAAAAATTAAATTATTATTTATGTATGTATGATTTGTGAAATTGTGTATATTAATCGGCACACGATTATATTGATTCTGACATAAATGGTATAAATAAAAATTAATTATTGCATTATATTGTATTATATCGTTAAACTATTATGCAAATACAAGTATATGTGCGTGTGTATTTAATGCATAATTTTAAAAGGTAATAAAAAGTACTTCAATAAATATAATCAATTATCGAAATCTTGCAGCCTATAAATTACGTTCAATAATATGTGTAAAATCACTGAGTCAATAATAATTATCATTTCTCTTTCTTTGTTTCTTCTCTTTTATATTTGTAAAATAATTATTTTTATTTAATGGACAATGATATCGCGTATACTCATGTTATATAATCGATATAATCGCATAAATTATTCAATTTGAAGAAAATACAATTACCACTTTTTATTTTTTACATATAAATTGTGATAATACTGATAATATCAATATTAATAATTCTAATCGTTAATATTTTTTGTAAATATTTAGAAAATTAGAATAATTTTGTCTCTCGAAATAGTATAAGAATAAAACATTAAAATTTTTTAAATTTAAACAACTCTAGAATATTTTTGTTCCTCTGCTGATCGATTTTTAGTATATATTTAGATGCAGAAATAATTAAAGCATTCTTGCAACTGTTAAAATTCTGTCAAAGTTATGTTTTTATCATGCGAATTTTTAAATCGCTCTATCTTAATAAAGTTCAAACGAGCAATCGAGGTCAATCGATTGGGTCGTATTAATATGGGAAAGAGCAAAATCGATAGATGATTACGTGGCCGGAAGTACCTTATTCAGACAAGTTTTACGGGCAATAGCACTTTTTTTTGATTAGATTGATCGAAGAAGGTGCGGTCTAGTTCCAGGGTGTGGTTCTCCGCTTTTAACCTCCGCCATCTGTCTCGATATATCTCATCGTTCGTACTCTTTTAGCTTCTTACGTCACCATCACATTTTCTAGATATTTCACCAGATATTCTATTTTCTCCTGATTATTTTCGCACAAAAGATTTCATTATTAATGCATTTAATCACAAATTTTTCCACCAATTTACCGCTTCCTTTTTAACAAGAATGTCAATTCATTAATGTTAATTTCCCAATTTTTTTACGTAAATATTTTTCTAGCTAAGTTCTAAATTTCATTTATCTTTTTTTATCATTTTTAATTCTTAAAGTCTATTTAAAATTCCACCAGGAAGATTGAGAAAATTGAAATTCTTTTCAAAAAAAAGAAAATTAAAATTCTTTTAAAAAATAATATTGAAATTATATATATATAAATGTTAAAAAAAGTGAAAATTGCGACAATAATAAATTGCAACTCCTTTTCAAAGTACGCCCTTCGTTTCTTATCTCTTGTGATATCTAGGGCAGTGAAAATATAGAGAATTTCTCATGCGGAGCTTTTGTAGCTTCTACAACAAAATGAGAATTTTCAAGAAAGTTGAAGTTTTGTTGCGGTAACATTGTGTAACGTTTTAGTACATATCGATATAATCCGCGACGAAGTTTGCACGCAAAATAAAAAAAATAAGAATCAAAAATTTTGCGCAACCTATATGGAATTCTTCGAAAAGAAGTTTCGCTATATAAGAACGTTTCTTCAATTCCCGGACTACATTCTCTCATTAAAGTTTCCGGAAAGTTTCTGTGAGATACAACAGCGTTTAATGCTGGTTCCATCTCAGCGCTATTAAACTTTTCGGAAGTGAATCTTTCGCATCGAATGAAAAACAATTTTATTTTACTACAGTTGGTCGTAAGCATTAATGGCTTTCGAATCAAAATAAGGACCATTATTTGCATACGATGTTATCTGCATTTGCATTTTTTTCATCTGTGTGCTTTTACGGATTATAACTTCGTCTATTTTAATCGTCTAATTCATCGTCTAATTTATCATTTGCTAGTAATTAAATATCACTTTGAGAAAATTGACGTTTTAAATCAAATTTTATTTAAAGAAATGAAATGCTTATTTGTCGCTATGAGTTACCGCAACGAATTATCACAAGCAATTGACTTCAATTCCTTATTGCGCCGTTACATAAAACATTGGAAATTTTCGAGGGAGACGAACGAGTGTCGCGAATATCTCGAGAATTCGAATAAACTCATAGATAATCCCGATAATATACGTTCCGCCTCGCTAAGGAATATCGATCACCTCATTTGCAGTACATACACATATACACACACAAGCGCGTATATATTGTAATATATATATATATATATATATATATATATATATCTGTGTATACACACACATACACATAAATACGGGAAATAATATCCAAGATCTGGCCTTGATGGAAATAAAGTGAAGTGCCCTCACCTTCGATCGTCCCTCCACCCTTTTCTCCTGATTCAGCTGGATCCAGGCGTCCCATCGATGTCTGTAGACACTCAGAGTGTTCCACTCATTCAGCTTCACCGTTTCCGTGCTCCTGACCGTACCCACACCGCTGCCGCAGTCGAACCTTAACCGCAGAAAATACAAGGACGATGTTAATCGATTCGGAATGTCAGGCACGTCGTGAAATATCAGGCATTGTCGAAGTGCAATTCATAACCATGTTCTTTTGATACATTGCCGCGTGCGGCAGAATTTAATCGCAGTAAGACAGTGCGAAAAAGGAAAACTCGTGCAATTAAATTACAAATTTAATTTTCTCTGTATTTTTGCAAATGAGTGATTGCGAGAAAGAACAGTTTATTCAAAAAACGTTGCAAATGAATTTGCTCTACTGCGATATTTTTTGTTCTTTTTTTTATTTTTGTATAAACACTTTATTTTATTTTTGTATAAACACAGTTCGTATGTAGAAAAGATTATTGAAAAACCAGTTTAATTTACTTTAATTAATTTGCTAAATGCAATGATAAATAGTTCCCTCTCTCTTTCTTAATATCATAATGGATGATGCATCCTCGTACGTTCACGATAAGAAAGAATATGACCGATGTTCAATAATACGTCTACGGTTGATAAAGTATTACTGGTGTCGCTGCCGATGTAATCAATATGGAAATCATCGTCGACATCCGGTAATCCATTCGCGATCATCGCGAAAGTAATCCGCTGATACGTAAGCGCACAGTAATGCTCTTCGTTCAGTTAATCGAACGACAAATCCACATGGCTAATCATTTAGCGTTCGATTAATGAATTGTGGAAACGAATCTGGGAAACAGTGGACGACTATCGGCTGGTATTACTGAATAAATTACGCGATGCGTTTGATGAATGTGTCTATGAATTTGATATTCGATCTATGATTCAAATTTCCGTTATTCTGATCGCACTGCTAAATTTCAATAGAAATTATCATGAAAATTCATTCTCGATGCTTCTTTCCATTTTTTTAATAATTGCTACTGTTATTTTGTGTGAAACGTTTTTATTTGTCATATAAACATTTTTATTTATTATACTTGTATTTAGAAAACATATTTATATGATAATTCAACAATTTTTGCTGTTAAATAGAAAGATTTTTTTTAAATTTTTAATAATTCTCGATATCCTTTATAAGAAAATTACAATAAAAACATGTTTATTTAACTAAATATTTAAATAAACACATCTCTGTTGCAAGTTTGTCATAAAGAATACTGAGAATTATTAAAAATTAAAAAAAAAAATTCTATTTGATATGTAAATAATTTTTTCAGGGAACACTACTACATGTATAATATCGCAGAAGCATCGATACAATATTACAAATGTCATATGGCGACATAACACTTCACAACGCGTACTTATGCAAGCGCGAAACTTTATATAGTGCGTTATAAAATAAATCCTACGGCGTCGTTTTCACGGCGAAAAAGTTTTTCCGTCGGGATGGCGCAAAATGCCGTAAAAAAGAAGGTGTGGAGCAGGATCAGAGTATATTGCAAAAGGCAAACTTTCAGTTTTTGCGCCGCGCCCATAAATCGTACCTACGCGGTCTCCATTAAGTTACGGCTTATTAACCTGTAAACGAAAAATTAGTCCCGGCATGGAATGTTTAATTAATGACCACGTCAAACTCACGGCGAAGTCTCCGAAATTATGACGCCAAAGTATTTTATAAAATGTCTCCCATGTAACTTTATATTCAATACCCCTGCTCCTTGACGTGGGATAAAAAAAATCGATAAATTTCATTCTCGAGACTATTTAAGGAGTTTGCGCTCGTAAAATCCTTCTCGCCGATGTTTACGATCTCTTCTCTTAATTTTTTAATTAATACTCTGATCTTATTCTCGCCTTTTTTATTAATTTAACTCGCTTTCAGAAAATTTGTTATCCGTATCTCTTCTATAATACATATTAATTTTATACATATTTATTTTATTAATGCATTTCGTTATAAATGTTAATCAAATATTTTTTTCTTGCATATACTTGTTCGAATAAACATTTTAATATAAATATCAACTCAATTATTCTAATTTAGATTGAAACGTTGATAATATATTAATCAAACTCCTCGTCAAACTTCTTGAATCGATAGTTAGTAATAATAATGATAGTAAATAAACAATACAAATACCTGAATTCGATAAAGCCATGATGAAGTATCAAAGCCATAAAATCACCCTGAAGATCATCTCGTTCTCCCGCCAATAGAAGCACCCCATCCCACGCTTCGGGCCGAAATTCCAGCTCCAATTGCACGTGTTTGTAAGCGGCTCTTAAGGCAGGAAAAGCCAGCCAGCCTGATCCAGTAAAACGCGGCGATCTCACTTCAGCCTCTGAAACGCAACATTACCTAAGGGTCTTTTTACTGATTTAACGGAATTTGTTTGAACTTTGTTAATTTGTTTCCGGCTTAAATTAGCAACAATATATTTACAGTATCAAGTAATTTGCAAAGATATGGCAAGAATTTAATGAATAAATTTTTATGATAATTATAAAATAATAAAGAAATCGATATGCGCTGAAATACACATCATTCATAGAAAATAGATTTTATAAAATGTATTAAAAAATTCTTTTCTTTATCAAACTTTCATCATATTTTGCTATATCTTTAAAAGTATGCACTGAGTAGAAATAATGTTATTTTAATTCGCATTTTATAAAAATGTACTTCTTATGTATCTCGTTTTCATTATTTATTAGAATTATTTTTCATAAAAATGTTATTAAGATAAAGGAAGATATAACACAAAAAATGTATTAACTATATAAATAACAATTTTACATAATATGCAAGTGCATGTATGCAAGATGATTTCATAAAATTTGTCACTATTTTATAATACAAAATAATAAGTTTGAGAATTTCCAATACACTCATGGTGCCTCAGCGTATTAATATCCGCCAAAAATATTATTTTTCGTGACGCTATTAGAAAAGCGCCACTTTAACGTATACATTTTTCAAAACGCATCACGAAATAATCTCGAAAAGTATGTGCAATTCGTAGTTGAGAGACGTGCGAATGGTTAACATGCCGGTATCGTCGACCACTTTCGGAGGTTATGGGGGAAGGGAAAAGAGCGGAAAATCGAGAATTCCGGCCGCACACGAGGCTTCCATGGAACGTCCCTTCACTCCCACAATCTACAACCTCGTATCAATCACGTGAGTGTGCCGCAGGATGTACCCGTAGGAAGACGACCCTACCGAGCACGTGAGTGTAAGGGTGACGATAAATCAGGCCGGACCAGAAGAATAGAAAAAGTTGCACCCGTGGGGCCTGGAAATGGAATTCCAGTTCTTGATAGCGTCAGAAATCCTCGACACTATCATGTAACAAAGCGCCGCTCAACCGGCGGAATCGTATACGCAATTACAAATCGGTGATATCGAAAAGACATAGGGAATTTATCGGACATTGACATGTTGCAACGGCGGAGAGGAAATATCTCCGATCGATTGGTTTACTATACCGTAAAATCGATTTGACCCATATATTTTACGGCGTATTGCTTGTCTAGACTATTTGTTATCATACGAAATTGTAGCATGTTATAATTTATGTATTTTTCACGTGTGTGTTAAAAAATTTTCCAATCAAAATTATTAATCACAATAAATTTAAAATCATATATTTTAATTTTAATTAAGTGATATATATGTATAAATATATAAATATGTAAAATATATATATAAATATATAAGCTAAATAAATATATAAGCTATATCTATAAATAAAATTACATGTATTACGATATAAATATACAATTAATTATTTTCAACCGTTAAATTTTATATGCACGCAGCTGAACATGAACAGCTGTGCTGAGTGCTAATATGAAGTAACTGCATGATATAAAATTATAATTAGATTTGGTTATATAATCTATTCTAATTTATGTGTTCACACTATAAAATATAATAAAGTATCCAACCAACCATTGAGAAATATTCCGTAAATTGCTACATCCGCACTTGAATAACTGAGTTGCAAGACTATATATTCCTCGCAGTAGAACAAGTACATCGCAAGCAGACCGTAGATTCGACTCTCACAGTAGAGTAAGTAAATTATAGCCGGACCATATATTTCTTCCTACTAGTAGAACAAGTACATTATATTCCCGAACCAATATAATCCGCTTTTCGATTACACATTCACAGCATTCCAATATGCTTAGAATTCACTAGTTAGTATCGTAGCTATAAAATCACACGTATATAAGTGCACTTTTTCGTCATTTTATAGTGATAACGAAATTTATACAAATAAGATAAAAGAAATCAATATTGATACGCGCGTGGTTATAATACAAATAATAAATAAATATAATAGATAAAATATTATTTGTTAAAAAATACATAATATTGTTAATATAATGTCAATGTTGAAGGCAAAACAAACGATATACTCGATAAATGCATTTAAATAAATTACAAGGTGATACAGAAGAGGTACATTGGTGTCTCACATTAGCAGCGAATTTCGTTCTATCGGGCTTTTTTCACTTTGTACCTTGGTTTTTTTCGCGGTCTGTGTACACTGAGAGGCGTTTAAGATGTGTACATGAGTTAAATGAGTTACTTTATCGCCGCGGGATGCAAAAGGCAAAGAGTTCCCATTGATTAAAATCGGACATCCCAAAGTTATCGTCTCTGACGTTCGCATCGCGCTCGGCTTAAAGTGGGAAACGAACTTCCGGGAACGCGGAAAACAACGTTCCCGCCGCCTGCGGTTCAGCGAGGCGGGTAAACTCGAACGAGCCGAGAGCGATCGGGAGCGACGACGACCAGTTCGAAAAGAGAGAAGGCTACGATCGTAATTCGTTTCCCGCGGCGGCCTGATTGATCGTTTCGCTATTCGAGGCGTGCCTTTATGCAAATTAAGCGGATCAAAAGACTCCCGCGGTAGAGTTTCCATCCGGGCCTCGCAAAGTGGACGTTACCGAACGTCGGTCCTCTCGATGTGCCGTCCCGCATAACGCGAATGCTAATGAAAGTCGTTTCTTCACTGTTAAAAATTCTGACAAGCGTATATATAGCTCTCTGTCGTACGTTAATACGCCACAAATCCCTCGCCGCCTGCAATTTTTATTAAAGAACTATTACGTGGAAGTTTCGCATTAAAATCTTCATTAGAGAAAAGAGGAAAAAAGAGAGAGAAGAGTAGAGAGATAATAGAAGATGGAGATTACGATTGTCAGAAATGTTAGCGCGGTTCCAAAATGTATTTTCGAGCATTATGTGGATTACACATGAGCCATAATGTAAATCTACGATTTTGTTTTATTTTTTTTTTTTTAATATTTTTCATAATTCTTGTTTGCTTTTTTTATTGTTTTCAATGTTTTATTAAATGTTGTAATAAAAAAAGTTATTTGCTTAATAAAAGTTATTTGCAGTATTCTCTAATATTGCAAATAAACGCGAACAACGTATCGTACAACTATCATTGAAACATAATTAAAAAATGACAATTTACATTAAAAAATAGAAAATATCGACATTTGCAAGATAAGTACTTTTTACACATCATTTTATGTTTCTATTGTATTTTTCATTATATATACATATATATGTACATATATGAATAACACGAGCACATAAGATATAAATATAAACTTTATGATAATAATTTATGGAATAGAGAGAAATAAAGCTAGTTATAGTTCGTGCGTGTGCGTGGTCATACGTGTATGCGAAATCATAATATACATGTAGAAATACATATATCGATTACATTGACGTGTTGTGGAATGGTTACACGATTCGAATTATTGCGTTTTAATGTCGTAAAGTTTAAGCTCTTCGTATCCGCAAATGTTTCATGTTAATTCCATATGATTTTGACAATTAATAGAGATTCGATTCGGCGGTGACATAGACATCCCGTCCCCCTAACATACGAATCATATGTCAAATCAGTGGTACACGTTACAAACATATGCCAGCCATTTTCTCCGGGACATTAACGCCGGCCATTCGATCGTATCATCGTCAATACTCGCGTCCTATTCCCATGTTAGCGTTGTTATCGATTCGATACAAAGAGTAATGTCGTGTATCGAAGCTTTCGTGATTATACAGGGAATTATGATACATGCAATTACAATACATGCGATGTTGATATTGCAATAGATGTTCGTGATTACGGCGCACACAGTCATAAATAAGACAAAGTTCGCATTAACAGATTGTGGCGAAATAACAGATTGTAATATTTTAACGTTTTGTTTTATTACGTTTGAGAGATTGTTTTATGCATTTTAATATTTTGAGTGCAAACAATGCATGTTTATGTTTATCTTTGCAGAACAAATTCGCATATTTCGTTATTCGTTGTTACAAATCTGAAAGATGCGTTCAATTACGCTGAAAATTTTAGAAAATATACCCAACCAAGAAATTTCGTACTCGTTGAACCATTTAAGGACCGTTTCAAGTAGCGCGAGTCCATAATTCTCCGACATTCGGGTTCTAAAGACTGAGCAGTCAGCGGATAATACTACTTAAAAGTCAAATACGATCATGAATCCGGCATAATCCAAGGTAAAAAATGGTGGAAGTTTTGTTGAAATTTTCATAATTAAATACTTTACATAAGGGAGATCGTAAAAGCCAGAGCAAAAGTTTCTTTTCTATATAGAAAAGATATTTTACATTTATGTTGTAAATAGCACTTCTCTCAAAACTTTTGACGACAAAATCTTGTAATCTTTTTTTAAAAAAATAAATTCAGAATCTTTGCTACTTCTCTTTATCAATGTATTAATGTTTGAAATATTGTCACTCGAAAATAAAAATAGCGTGTCATTCAATTTCGATAATTTGTCGACGCTACAAAAATAAAAATGACAAAAAAATTCTCTCCGTCTTCATTATGTTCGCGTCTTCGCGTGTCTGTATCATCAATTTTCACTTCGTTCTTTATTAATACACGCGTATACTTCAATTCAGTCAACAAATTTGGCGAACAAATATTATCTCGGAGTCGCGCCGGAGAATTGAATCCGTGGAGAGTACAATTTAATTGGAAAAAAGTTAACTCTCTCTCGCGCGACGATATCAAAAGGCAATCAAAAGGACCGTACGTCGGCGCGTGCCGAACGATGTGTCATAAGTCAACGAAGAACATGGTATGGAGAGCACGACTCGTACATGTCGCGGCGCGTTATCGATTTTATAATCAAGGAGGAGGCAGCGAACCGCGTGTTCCCGTTTCATCACCTGCGAAGCCGTCCCTGACATGGACTTATATCTCGTTGGTTCAGTTGGTCACGAGCCTTAAATTATTCGCGATATACATAAAAATGTCGAACGATCGAG